CAATTTTGTAATCCTCAGAACAATTCCCTCCTCTAGGTTGTCTCTGACCTTTTTCAGCCCACCCACTGTGCACTCCATTCTTCAACACAAACTCAGAAACCTAATATGAACAAAACTACTTGTTATAACAAAACCCAAATGTTCTAGAATAAAAACATGGAGTTATGCATCCAAGTAGACTGTGAGAATTGCTCATCCCTTGCTGAGCATGGCAAAATTTCTTGAGTCAGAGTTCTTGTTCAATATCTCCTACCAAACTGAAAGTTCTATGGAATTAAGGCATGCTGGTTGTGTTCTTCGCGCTTGACACACAAACATCGAGAATGTTTTTAAACTCATAGCATGGCTAAGAACAAGTGTGTCTCATATTCTATCATGATCTTTATTGTCTCAATGCATGATCATTTTAAGATCTTGGACATAAGCAGGGAGGCAGTAGATAGCACAACCAATAAGGCTGCTAAAATTACAATTTTTTTAGATTGAAAACATTTTCTACTTTTCCCAGCGGAGCTGGGATCCCTGCTAGTTTACTTTATAAATGGTCATTCAGGTATTGTAGACTGAACGTTAAAGGTAAATGGTTGAACAGGTGTTATTTTCATAACTTCAAAAGATTTCAGACTCAATTCTGAAGTTATGTTGTGTACACCTATATCTGTTCGTGGTGAGATGTCACTCATTTGCTGGCTTGCAAAGCTTTCATCTAATCTGCATACTGGTAAATCTCGTTTAATTCAAAACCCAACTTTGACCATAGCACACAATGGAGACTTTGACAGGAAGCCCTAAGGACCTGTAGCACCTAATACCCAAACTGAGGTTGCACACATGGCAGCTGAGCTTCTACTTTCAATAATGTACACTCAAAACTCAAGCTCTCACAATTCTACTGGCAAGCCAACCCTTGGAACCAACTGGATAAATCTATTGGGAGTTGAAAGAGCATGACATGTGTAGGAGAGAGATGATCAAAGTGATGATGGCACTTTTGTATTGTTGGTCACAAATCATCATAAAGAGCACAGTACTCTTTCACTTACAACAAGTTGAATCTAGCAGCCAGAGTTTATCCTAAAGGGCAGCTGAAAATCGAAGCACAGCTATAACTAATGTGCACTACTA